CTGGGCCCCAGCTGCACCACATTGCACAGGTGTCATATGGGGAGCACTAGGTGTTACAGAAGGACGGAGAGACATTCTCTGATAGTAGGAATGGAATTGATGTTAAAAAATCATACAGAGTATATCACAACAGGGGGTTTAACTAGATTGGTATCAGAACAGACTTTCTGGGGTGACAGAAATGACATACACGTGTAGCTATACAGATTGAGTTTATAGAGGTGCATGACTTGAATTGCGCTTTTAGGCCCCCATTTCCATTTCATGGTTTATACCACACCAGGAAGTAGTAGTAGTAGCACTCTTAACGTTGTTATAGGAGATGACAGTACCTCTCATTGTCACACCTGTTTTAGAGTATCAAGTGTTTAAAAGAACATTTTCTGAAGTAGATTTAAAAACAGTGTTGTTACCATTTATTTCCTGAGTTTGGTAAATTAAGATAGGAAGAGTCTGTAAAGAGTCAAAAATTAAGGTCTTCACCCTAACGTTCTTACTTACATGTTTTTTTTTTTTTTTTTACTTTTAACTGTTTTTATATGCAGTTTAACCTCTTGTGATTTTTAAATTATTGAAACAAACAATACTTTTTATATCAAATCCTTTGAAATTCTTTACACAAATGCGTACATAACACATCTTAATTCTTTTGACTTCCCCTGGCCTGACTCTGAATGCTCCCCTGGGATCCCTGCTCCAGCATACTCGCCTAGGTTGCCTGATCTAGAAGATGGTGTGTATAGAAGAGAGCACTGTCGGGAGGGACGGGACAGGCGATGGTGTCCTGTGTGACCGCAGAGGCAGGTGGCCTGTGGCAGCGCAGGGCCAGCAGCCCTGTGCTGTGAGCTCGCACTCGCAGTAAACCAGAGGCCGGAAGGCTGTGTAGGTGGAGGGGACGTCGTGTGCAGGGAGCAGAGGGAGGCTGCTGCTGGGTGGTGGCTGGTGACTGCCTGCACGGGGACTGAGCCTGGGAAGGAAGCCTCGTGGAGCATGCTCTGCACAGCGCTGTCCTTAGTTTGTGGCCGTGGGAATGTCCTCTGTGCTGTTGGATGTGGCTGCCCCTGACAGCAGGTGGATGCTGAGCCCGGGGAAGGTGGCCAGTGTGTGAGCCGGAGTTTTACTTTACCTGTAAATAGTAAGCATGTATTTCATCTTCTGTATTCTGTAGTGCTTTTCAGCGTGGTCTGACTGAGCAGACGGCTCCTCCCAGGACAAGCTAATTTAATTCCTGGAGATAGGAAATACCTGGGTGGGAGCCGCCTGTCACCTGCAGACCAGTGGAGGCTGTACCCACAGCACCTCCTCCTCGGTCTCCTCCACACCAGGCCATTGTCCCCAGAGAGGTGCCATTTTGAGGGGTTTCAGATGATTCACTTGCCCGCTGGAGACAGCCACCCACCCTGCCTCGCTTCTCCGTGGAGGCCAGGGAAGGGCTGAGCGCCTGTGTGCTCTCGCCTTCATCCTGGCCAATCCCGGTGCTTCCCCATGCCCTGCCACCTCCTCCAAGCGATACGTTCTTCCCAGGCAATGTTGTTGAGGCATTGTCCTGCTGTGTGTGATGAAGAGAAAATCTCAGGCACATATCCAGCAGTGGCTAGCAGCTTGATCATGTTGACAACATAGGTCCTCCGTCCGCGAGACAGCTCGTTTCCTCTACGGAACTTTAACACGTGCACGGTGAGGCCAGAATTTGAATGTCTCGATGACACGCGCGACTGTCCATCGTGGGGCACAGGCTAGTACGGCGGGTGGTACAAGCCTGTGGGAGCACGTCGGTTCATGCAGAGAATCTTTCTGGAGTCTCCACTTGTTTGTAAGGACATGACGGATGCAGAGGGCCAAGTCCTGTCCCGTACAGAGCTTCACTCCACAGACTAAAGGTTTACACTTCCAAAGATTTCTGTCCGGCAGCAGTGTCGGGTTGCTCTGGAAAATACCCTTGCAGAGGAGGACTCCTGTTTCCTTCTGCTCCATCACCCGGCACAGGCCACCGTGTGCTGCGCATCTGTGTGCTGGGCACTCTGACACCCCTGTGTGTACGTACGTAGGTCTGTTTGGCACGGTGGTGTCAGAAATAATCTATTTTGGGAGAGTCAGACTTAAGCCATTGTTTCTTTGAATAGTTAAATAGAAGAATGATTATGTCTTGAGAGTTTTACCAATAGAGGAACAGGTTTAATTTTTAGATCAGTTGGATTTAGAAAATAAACTTTTTAGATAGGGACTCACTACATGGACCAGGCTGGCCTGGAACTCACAGTTCTGCCTCAGCCTCCCATATGCTGAGGTTACAGGTGTGCGCCACCACACTGGTTCATGGTGATTTATGACAGGCTTTGGATTTAGGCTGTCCTGGGCCACACATGCTTCAGGTGTGGTTTACCCGCCTGTGAAATGAGAACATTGTTACACTAGAACAGTTTAATCTAACAGTGTTTAATGACTTAACAGAGTTGTTCTCATAGCATAGTCTGTTCATTTATTGTTAATGTTGAAAAGTTTTTTCTTAAAGCCGGGTGTGGTGGCACAATGCCTGTAATCCCAGCACTTGGGAGCCTGAGGGAAGAGGATCGCTGTGAGTTGGAGACCACCCTGGGCTACATAATGAGTTCCAGGGCAGTTTCAACTACATAGTGAGACCCTGTCTCAAAAAAACAAAAAAGTTTTTTCTTATATGTTACTTTTCTACTTTGTGGTTTTCTTTTTTTCTTTTTTTGGTTCTGGGGATTGAACTCAGGACCTTGTGCTTGTGAGGCAGGAGTGGTACCACTGAGCTAAATCCCTGGCCCTTGTGGGTTTATTTTTATTTATTTATTTATTTTTTTGGGGGGGGTTTTTGAGACAGGGTCTCACTATGTAGTTGAGACTGACCTGAAGCTCACTGTGTAGCCCAGGCTGGTCTCGAATTCACAGTGATCCTCCTGCCTCAGCCTCCCAAGTGCTGGCGTTACAGGAGTGCGTCACCATGCCTGGCTCGTTGTGGGTTTATTTTTGTTTTTGTTTTTGTGCTGGGGATTGAAGCCTAGGCAAGTCCTGTACCACTGACCCACATCCCCAGCCATTTGACCTGTGACCTGAAGCTCACTGTGTAGCCCAGGCTGGTCTCGAATTCACAGTGATCCTCCTGCCTCAGCCTCCCAAGTGCTGGCGTTACAGGAGTGCGTCACCATGCCTGGCTCGTTGTGGGTTTATTTTTGTTTTTGTTTTTGTGCTGGGGATTGAAGCCTAGGCAAGTCCTGTACCACTGACCCACATCCCCAGCCATATTTATTAGCACACACCTTGGTGCATAATTTCGTTTTTTCTTACCTTGGCTATTTCTGCATAGCACCTAGCAAGGTGCCAGGTGGGCACTCAGTGAAGGGAGGTGAACAGGACTTTTGTACAGGACTTTAATATGTGCTAGTACCTACTGATTTTAAACAAAGGATCCTCACAAAGTTTTGATCCACATGTAGGAATGTGTTTTTCTGAGAGCAGTGATGGTGAACCTTTTAGAGACCAGATGCCCAAACTGCAACCCAAAACCTACTTATTTATCACAGAGCGCCAAGACTACAATTAAACCTGCTTACTGAGGTTTTAGTTCAGAAAAAAACAAAACCTCACACGACTGTGATGTCATGGCAGAGAGGGCTCTGTGTGCCCGCTGTGGCACACATGCCATGGGTCTGCCCCAGTCTCGATACATCTGTGTCCACAGGCAAGTGCCTCTTTCCACGCACCATTTATGTGCCCTGTCTTCACAGGACAGGCCGGGGGCTCCTAAATGGACTAATGAATGTTTATGGAATGAAGTTTATCCTACAATGACAACGTTTCAATTTATAAAAGTTTCAACTCATTAAAATATAGCTTTATACATTCTTATTTTGGAACATCTACCAAAAAAAGTAAATCGAGGGACCTGGGATTTAGTGATGCGGTGCCTGCCTTGAAGTGCAAAGTCCTGAGTTTGATCCCCAGTACCAAAGAGAAGTAAATTGAAGCTTAGGCAAGTGAAGGATCACTATGAGTTTGAGGCCAGCCCAGGCTACGTAGCAAGATCCTGTCTCAACCCCTACCTCCCCCAAAAGAAATTCTCAATCAGTTGCAAAAATATTTATGGACATTCTTTTTTACTAAGGAGAAAAGTTGCAGCTGGGCATGATGGCGCATACTTATACTATCCTGGGAGCTGAGGCAGAAGGAGCACACGTTCAAGGCCTGCCAGGGCAGCTTATCGAGACCCTGTCTCAAACGAGAAAAAACAAAAACAAAACAAAAAACAAGCAAGGCTATGGATGTAGCTCAGCGTGAAGGCCCTGGTTTAATCTCCAGTATGGCCTAAAGAAAAAAAGGGAAAATGTCTAAACATAAAATGTATCACAGTTGAATTCTGTGTATGCTGGCCAAAATTGCTGATAAAAGTGGACACAGTGTCTTGCTTCTTTTGTTGCTGAGATAAAATACCCAACAGCCAAAGTTAAAGGAGGAAAGGGTTATTTTGGCTCACAGTTTACAGAGGTTTCAGTCCATAGTTGGCTGGCTCCAAGGCAGGGTGGCTTTGCAGAGGAGAAACAGTCTAGGTCAGGCCGAAGACAGCAGAGAAGCAGCAGGAGCTGTGGCCTCTCCCTTTGATCCCTTCCAGGCCACCCACGCCCAGGTGGGCCTTCCCATCATCCACACCCAGAACTACGCCAGGGGTCAGGGGACTAGTTTAGAAGCCAGCACCCTTAGTCCCGGCGTCACACACCCCAGATCCAGCCCCACCATGACCGCGTGAGCCCCGTCATGACTGGTGGGCCTCTGGACCCAGCCATCACACACGGATGTACTTAGGGCTTGGTGAGGTACAGTATTGGAAATAGGACCTCTTTCTGAAAATTGACGTTTCTAGTGTCACGAGTCTCAAGTTAGCTCGTAAATACGGTAACCCTAGGTAGAGCACGGTCTGTTGTGAAGTTTAATCGGGCGGATCCGGCCCAGCCTGGGCGGCAGCTCTGACAGCACACGTTCAGTTGCAGAATGGCTCCGGCTGCTGCCTTTCCTGGGCGTGCTCGCTCTTCTCGGCTACCTCGCAGTCCGCCCGTTCTTCCCGAAGAAGAAGCAACAGAAGGACAGCTTGATAAACCTTAAGATCCAGAAGGAAAACCCCAAAGTGGTGAATGAAATCAACATCGAAGACTTGTGTCTCGCCAAAGCCGCGTACTGCCGGTGTTGGCGCTCGAAGACGGTAAGATGTCCGTTTCCGGTGCTTTAGGGCTGGTGTGCTTCTCAGATCCCCAGGTTTGGGATTTTCTGAGATAGTTTTCCACAGTGTTTAGTACCAGAAGTCCACATTCCTAGACTCACTTTGCTCTCTGTGATTGCTGCTGTCGGTACTGCAGGTATTTTTGAGGACTTGGTGAAATGACAGGAAGAATGACTTACAAGCCGGTATGAGCTGGTAAATGGTGGCTCTTGTAATGATTATTTTTATTGTTAGCAGTGGCAGAGTTTATTTGAGAAAGTAAAATTGAGGAGTGGGGGGAAACTGGCCATACTCGAGCTTGGTCCGAGTAAAAGAGGACAGAGCAAGGTGAGGAGTGAGGAAAGCCGCAGGGCCTCAGGGGAGTTCGAGGGACGGTATCGGCAGCTGGTGGGATCTGTTTTCTTGTGCTCCTTTGATCAACATTGCAATTTTAAGTACACTATTGTTTACCTCAGCATCCTTTGTAATAGCCCAAGTTTCGAGACTATCTGCTAACGGAATACAAATGGGACATCCCGGAGCTATTAATTAACAAACCGTGTTTTTAAAGAATATTTAATTCTGTGATATTTCAGGAATATTTAATGAGATCCTGATTTAATACAGGTAAGAAGAGCATGAGCCCCTGGAGGTGGAGGGCAATAGTGAGTTAGCAGAGAGCTGGCCCCACTGGCAGCAGGACGCTTTCCCTACCTCCCGAAAGAGCATACGGCATGGGCAGAGCAGAGTGCCGGATGTCATTCACCTGTGTCTGGGTGGCTTATGAGTAAAGTCGTCAAAATTCATTTAAAAATTTTTTTTCAAAAAACTAGTCTATGAGTTTTACAGTAAGAAAACAGTGTGAAAATTGATTTTGGATTTATATTCCACTTTTAAAATGAATCGAGAGTTACTCTCAAATTTAGAGCTCCATAGAGACCAAGAGCTTATTTTGATTCCTATTTGTTTATTTGGTACCAGGAATTGAACTCAGGACCTTGCACTTGCCAGGCGGGCGCAGTGCTGCTGGGCGACATCTCTGGCCCACTTCTTTTTTAAAAATATGCAGTTGCTCATGGAATCAGCCTAAGGTTTTTATTTAAAATCTATACCCGATAGTGAATTAACAATTTACACTATTAGATATGCTGTGGTATCAGGATGTGGTTAGGTTAGATGTAAAATAAATCTATTACTTAATCTTTTTAACCAAGTAATGTGCTTTGTGACAGCATTTAACAAGTATTTCTACTTAATCATATTTTTAAAAATACGATTTGTAATTCCTTTTTCTTTTTAGTTTCCAGCCTGTGATGGCTCCCATAACAAACATAACGAGCTGACAGGAGATAACGTGGGTCCGCTCATCCTGAAGAAGAAGGAAGTATAACATGACGACACTGGGTCCATTCGTCGTGCTGTAGAATCTTATGGTTTTTCCTCATTCTTTTTGTATTCTTTGAAATGGTGGTCTTAATTATTACTAGGTGAATAATTATTTCTGCCGGTTTATTTTCTTGCTACACTACTGTTTATATTTGATATTTTGTATATTCAAACATTTATGTAGAAATTAAATCGTCAAGCCTCAGTCTGTCTTCAGAGAATTAATATATCTTCCAGCAATAAAATCAGTTCCTCTTTTTGTTTTTTTTTTAATGGGGATTGAACTTAGGACATTGCAGTTGCCAGGCAGGTGCTGTGTGCTGAGATGTATCGCTGGCCCCTCTTATTTTAATTGACTGAGAAAGCCTAAATTTTGGCAATGGATCTAAAACTGTTTGGATATTAATATTTCAGCAGAATATACTTTAAAAATTTTTCTTACATTACTATTTTTTTTTCTTGGTACTGGTGACCTTGTACTTGTGAGGTAGGTGGTGGAACCACTGAGCTAAATACCCAGCAGTATTACTATTTTTTTGTACAACTTTTGTTTGATCTGTTACATGGCTTGCTCCTTTCTGACCTTCCACAGGCCTTTTTGCGGGGTGGTACTGGAGCTCGAACTCAGGACCTAGCAAGTGCCAGGCAAGTGGTCTGCCACCGTACTCCATCCCCAGCCTCTTTAGGGGAACTAAGAAAAATGCTGACGTGAAGAATGACTTGAGGTCACAGGTAGCAATTTTGGTTTCTAGAGATTGTTCCTCATGAATATGAATACCACAATTTCAGAGTTAAACTGGACATAAAATTTCTAATGAGGAACAGTTTTTGTAAATTATAAAAGGTTTGCTTACAAAAGGTGTGCATGTGTGTGTGTGACTGACACGGGTGGGGTGGCAGGAAGGCTTGCAGCTAAACTCATGGGCTGCTGCAGTTTGAAGCTGAATTAAAAATAAAAAATGCCTGAGTTCTGATTAAAACCAAATTGTGTTTAAATAAACAACTTCTCTTTAGGAGTTTTAAGTACGAAACAGTTTTCAAAATAAATTTACTGGAGAGTTTAAAACACGTTTGTAATTTTTAGCCCACCATTAAGAGACTGTGAATCGCGATTCTCAATTACTAGCTACCCTTGGGTCTGTTACAGGTAAATCCGTCCCTTTGGGCATTTGGTCCTTCGTCCAGTGAGAAGCGATGGTAACCGAACGTGCCCATGTGTGAGGCTGCACTCAGGCGGTGCTGGAACTCGGAACTCACTCCATGTAGTGGCAGCGGGCTCTGCTCTGTGACCTTAACAAGGGCTTTAGAGGTACAAACGTAGTCTGTTTTTTGAGAAAGTTTATGAGGATTTTGTTGAGTTGTTGCTCTTTCCTCTCCCACCTGTCAGTGCGAGAAGTAATATAACATTGCCCTCACTTCTTTGGCTCTGAGTAGTTCTTCTGAGACCTTTTATTCAACATCATTAAGGCTCGACTACTGGAGTAACCAGTTATTTTCCACAGATGGTGGTTGCAGGACCCTGGAAAGTCCTCATCGAAAGTTGGGATATGCTTGTTTGTGGTTATAAAGATTTTCTATTTTGTAAAATCGTTCACAACTCAGCAACATGTTTTTAAACATTCTGGCAGGTTGTGGTGGCATGGGCCTGTGATCCCTGTGCTCAGGAGGCAAAGGTAGGAGGATCACAAGGTTGAAGCCAGCCTTGGCTGTACGGTGAGGTCCTGTCTTATAATTAGATTTCACAGGAGGTAAACTTACTAAAAATGTGTAGTCTAATATGGAACAGTCGACTTCTAATTTTGTCAAATAGGAATGCTTAGAAGTTGAAAATGAATTCCTCTTTAAAGGTTAATTTTAATATACCAAAAAGGAAATGGAGCCGGGGTGATGACACACACCTGTGATCCCAGCTCCTCGGGAGACCGAGGCTGGAGGAGTGCAAGTTCAACCCCAGCCTGGGCACTGTGATGATTTAGTGAGACTCTGCCTCAGAAATACAAGGTAGGGCCGGGGATTTGGCTGCCTCGCAAGTGCAAGGGCCCGAGTTTGATCCCCGGTACCAAGGTCTGGGGGCCGTGGCTCTGTCCGAGAGCCCGGCCGCAGTCTCCAGTACCACAACCAACCAAAGGAGGCTTGGTGGTGCCCACCTGTAATGCCAGCGCTCTGGGAGGCTGCGGCAGGTGGATAGCAAGTTGGTGCCTAGCAAGAGCCAATCCCGAAAAACTAAACAACCGAAAAGGCTGGGCCTGTAGCTCAGTGCAGAGGTTCTGGGTTCAACCCCCCACCCCAGTACTGAAAAAGAAAGAAAAAAAAAAAGTTCACTGTCTTCACATGCCGTGCAGACCTCAGAGATGGGAGCGCGCAGGGTGCCCGCACACCCGGAAGTGCGCGGCTCCCGGAAGGCTCCCTGGGAGCTCGGTCCTGGGGCCGCCTCTCCTGCTTGGGAGGAGCCGGTCCGGCCGGCCCCTTGTCGGGCACCGTGAGTGAAGGGAGCTGTCCTGCGGAGCGCTGGCGATGCAGCTCCCATGGCTTATGGTAGGGCTTTTGTATTTTGTAGCCTAATTTGTTAGTAAGGATATGGGAAGCCAGTTAGGACAGCTGCTGCTCTGCCTGGCTCTGACCTTCCCTGTCCGATTCTGTAGTCATCCATCAGCTTAAGGAGGTTCTTGAGATCATGGTAGATGCTTTATTTTGTGGTACTGAGGACTAAACCCAGGGACTTAAGCATGCTGGGTAAGTGAGCGTTCTACACTCATCTACAGCCCCAGGGTTTTAAAAAAGATTTGAGACATCTCATTAAATTGCCCACACTGGCCTTGGACTTGGGATCCTCCTGCCTCAGCCTCCTAGGTAGCTGGCATGACAGGTGTTCATGATGATACCCAGCTGGGTATTTTGTTTGATTGTGGTAGAGACATGAGTGACTGCACTGCGTTATTTACGATACATTTGGAGCAGCCCCACACGCTGGAGAAACCCAAATTCCTAATGCTTGTACTTTTGAAAGTGAGTGTCTCGGCTCCCCATCTTCAGAGCCAGCTTTTTGTTTGTTTTGAGACAAAGCCTCCCTATGTAGTTCAGGCTGGCCTTGAACTCACTATATCTGATTCAATTCATGACGATCCTTCTGCTTCAGCCTCCTGAGGGTTGGGGGCAGTCTGCATATTTTTACTTCACACCCAGTTCTAACAAGTTCAGTTATCAGATTTCTGCTCCTGAACAAATCACAGGTATGGAAAGGATTTGGCTTTTAAAAGGGTAAACATTAAAATCTGACAGCCGCAGGGAAGACAAAAATAAGTTCAAAGTGAACATTAAAGGCGTAGCAGCTAGAGACAGTGCTGCAGGGTCCTGAGGGTCATCCCTTTGATCTCCCCTGGATGCGGGGAGGCAGGGCGCTGCACTCAGTGACACCATTTCCACTGTAAACGGAAGCTCAGCGCTTTGTGAACATTCCTTGACTAATCTTGACCTACTCCTTGCCGTGTGGAGGCATAATTTAATCACAGGAAATTTTTCCATGTTCAGTTAAAACATTTTTCCAGTTGATGACTGTAATTTACTACATAATGGTTAAAATACAGGAAAAGTTAAGCAACAGCAATTTAAGCCACATAAATCATGTCAGATGACCCCTTCCACTTCAAGGAGGATTAGAAGTCTTGTGAAGATCTCTCCGCTGTTGTCCCATCAGGTTGGATTAAGGACACCTGTAGCTGGATGATTTGGGGCTCACTTTACCTTGTTGAGCAAATGAACTTGTTTTTCTGGTTTTGTTTTGTTTTTTGAGACTGGGTCTCCCTATGTGTTTTAGGCTGGCCTTGAACTCACTATGTAGCTCAGGCTGGCCTCAAAGTCAAGATTCTCCTGCCTCAGTCTCTCAAATGCTGTGATTACAGACGTGTACCACCATGCCCTGCTTAGCAAATCAACTTGTTTTATCTTTCATAGAAATCCACTTAGAAAAGTCCTGCAGCAGACATCACTTTAAAACAGTATACAAACTAGACCCTCACACAACTGCCTGTTAGTTTGGACTTGAAGAACCTTGAAAACCTGTTCAGAAACATAGAACTGTGTCTTTTAGCCAGAGATGACACCACTCTAACTTGGCTGTGGGGTAAGTGATTCATTGCTCACTTAAAAATCTGTTTTCAGCAGTTCTGGTGAGCAAGTATAGTTATGACTTTTCTTAGAACACTGTGGCCAAGTAGATCAGCCACAATGTTAATTTGTAACTTGTTATAAGCATAAAAAGTACTAAATTCTATGTATGATATCCCATTTTGAAATTATCAAAGATCCCATTACTCAGGAGGCTGAGGCAGGAGGATTGCTATGAGTTCAAGGCCAGCCAGAACTATATAGCGAGACCCTGTCTCAAAAAGAGTATAAATATAATACAAACTTAAATACTATATTTGATGCGTGGAGATTATTGGTATTGGGGATGGAACACAGGACCTTCACACTGAGCTACATCCCCAGGCCTTTAAGTATGTTTTATTTTGAGACAGGTTCTAAGTGCCTATGTTGCCCAGGCTGGGCTTGAATTGACATTCTCCTGCCTCAGCCTCCCAGAATGGTGGGATTGTAAGCATATATCACCATGCCAGGCTTTAAATATTTATTAATAACATTACCCAAAACAGTTTTGATTACGTGGGGATGCAGAATGGAGCAAAAATTGTGTGGAAGTGGCTTGAATAATAAGTTATAAAATAGTAGACTCTAGTAAACTGAAATTTAGACCACAAGTAATATAAGCAAATAAACCACAAAAATGAGTAAAATATAAGAAACCATGGTATGACAAAAGGGTAAAAAGAATCACTGTGTGGCAAGGTGAGGCAAGGATGCCTTTATGCATTGGCCCTCCATTGCTTCTTCCTTCACAGCAGGCTGAGCCCCTATAGCTCAAAAGCCCACGAGCAGCCATTTTCTACTTTCAGATGGGCATTTTTAGCTTCCACATGGAAGAAGGAACATGCAGCATTTGTTTTTCTGACTTAATTCACCTACTTTTCTCCAGTTTCATTCATCATTCTGCAAATGGCAAGATTTCATTCTTTATTTTTTTCTTCTTCTTATTGTTTATTGGTACCAGGAATTGAACTCGGGTCCTTGTGCTTGCAAAGCAGGCAGCAGAACCACTGAGCTAAATCCCCGGCCCTCACTATGTTTTCAATGTATGAACAGTATAACGTATGTACATAGCGCCTTTACTTTATTCATCCATGCATGGGCAGCCCGGTTGATGAATAGTGCTACAGTAACCATGGGTTGCAAGGACTCTGATGTGCTCCTTTCATTTTCTTTGGATGCCAGAATAGGCAGAGCCAGATCCTATGGTAGATTTGGTTTTAGGTTTTTCAGGGACCTCACGCTGTTCTTTATCATGGCTGAACAATTTAATTCCCACCAACAATGTGTAAGAGTCCTGCCTCCTACATCCCGCCAGCATTTATGTTTTGTCTTCTTGATAGCAGCCATCCTGACTGGGATGAGATGACATCTCACCGTGGTTTTGACCTGCTAAAGGCTGGGAAAGGAGCGGGTGGAAATGAGGTTGGATAACAAGCTCCAGAACACAGTTATATGGCACAAGTGTGTTCTGGACTTCTGTAGCTGTGAAGTTCATTGCTGTGATGCTGCCTCACCCATGTGGTTCAGAAGCCTTTGGAATGGATTCACGGGAGGAGTTTGGAAAGGTTTGTGGATGCAGACTAGAGAAGCCTGAGAATTCTGTAACCCAACCCGAAGCAGCTGTCCTTCAGGCCAGTTACGTTATGCTTTGGCAGAAAATTTGTCTACATTTTGCTTATGTCCTGAGACCCTGAGATTAAGGGCAGTGAACTAATGAATCTGGTGGAGGAAGTTTTAAGACAGCCTAATGTTGAGGCTGTAGCATGAGTATTGTTGAAGGCTTTTATTCAGAATCAAGAGCAAATGGCATAGCTGAATGATTTAAAGTTTGAGTTTCACCAGAAAGGAAGCTTCTGTAAAGTTGAGGCTTATAAAGTTGGAACAGAGGAGAGCTTGCTGGAAAGGTGAAAGAGAAGCCAAGTACTCTGGAGTAAGAAAATGGCTGGAGGGCATGTCAGAAGTGTGCAAGGCCCGCCTCTTTGAAGGGTT